ACAGTGTCTCTTTTGCATCTTCTCGGCCTTGATATTGTATCTTGAGATCAGCCATAGACAATATGTAAATGAGTAGGTGGGGATGTGCTCCAAAGTTTAAAACTAATCTATAAAAATGGGTGGTGGGTTGTAATTTACTGACCACTGCTTTATACTGACATGCAACTGGGTAAGATATATATGTACGCACATGCGCACACACATGACTTATATTTTGCACATCATTATTCCAGGGTAATCACTTCCAGAGAACAATCTTGGGGGTGGGGGGAAACTAAATACCTCAGTTGAATGATCAATAGCCTCCTGAAAAATTGTGTAAAAATTTAGTATGCGTAAACTCAGCTATTTGCTAGACGTGAATTTTTCTGAACAGACATCTTAATTTTGTTCTCTCATTGCCATGTGGGTTGTTTTGATTCTGTCACTGTATACAGGCTCTGCTTCAGGGTCTGTCTAGCTATTCCATCCCCTTTGCTCATTTTGCTACTTCCTTTGTCCTATAGGTATCTGTGTTTATGACTATTGACATCCAGAGTGTTCTGACTCTCAGGAACCTAGGTGTGGATATAATCATTAAGTCAATATGTATCACATGTATGGTTTGTTATACTGACATGCTCTTAGGATTTTTCAGAGACTGTGGAGTGCTCTTCTCAGCTAGGTTTTGGCTCATTTAGCTTTCTTGGATGTGGGTTTATGTCTCCTTGTACTGAAGTTTAAACACCCAGTGATTGTTTACATGGTTTATAATTTGGCTTCCTGTGTATACTTCATGGTGAGAGCCTTCCGATGAGCCACATGGGAGGTGGTATTTGTACAAGATCACATTTAGTGTACACAAAAGGGAAATGTTTATTCACATCAGTGTCTTGCTCTTAAGGTCCTTGGTGACTAGGGGAGATCTTCTTTTTTTATATAATTGGCCCATCCATGCTAATATCGGCCCATATCCTGCTGAATTTTAATAAATTTGCATTCTTGTGATAGAGAGCTCTCATCTAAAGAGAATGCAAAACATATTATCTTCTCACCAATTTCTATTTAGGTAGAATGGAAATACCAATGCAAACTCTGTCATTAAAAAACAAACCAAACCAAAAGCTACTCATCCAAGAAGCAGCAGTGAGAGTTGCATGCATGATGGCTAACCTTATACTAATTTTCATGCCAAGATGTTGGTGCTGCATTTTTTTGTTCCTGAGTATAATAAGACCATTTTTTCATATTTGTTTTTTTTGAGAGAGAGAGCACGTGAGCATGTGCACAAGTGGTGGGGGGAAGGAACAAAGGAAGAAGGAGAGAGAGAATCTTAAGCAGGCTCTACACCCAGTGTGGAGCCTGATTCGAGGCTTGATCTTACAACCCTGAGATCATGACTTGAGCTGAAATCGAGAGTTGGACACTTAACTGACTGAGCCACTCAGGCACCCCTGTCATATTAAACCTTTTAGCATTCAGTAATAAATTTTTTTATCTTTCCTTGAGTCCTTGGAAAGAATTTGATTGAAATTTATGAAACCAGCACTTTTGGATAAACTATGGCATGTGGAATACTATTCAGCCATGAAAAAGGTTGGGGTAATTTATACAAGGGCCACTTGGCTGGATTTCAAAGGCATTGTGCTGAGTGAAAGTGATCAGTGTCAGAAATTTGCATACAGTGTTAGTGCATGTGTAGGTTATCTGGAAAAGGTGAAACTACATAAGGAAGACAGATAACTGGTTCCTGTGCTTGGGGCTGGTTTAACCCCAGTGGGATGGCATGAGTGAGTGTTATTGGGTGACAGAACTGTTATGTCTTGATTCTTGTGGTGGTCCCATAAATATATACCTGGGTTAAAAATTTGTAGTACTTTTGTATACAAAAAGTCGATATTTGTGTGTTTATTTTTCATAAGTAAAATTAAAACCCAGAGTGATTATGCTTGTTGAGAACATCAAAAATATATTCAAGTGATTGTGGGGGTACCAGGGATTCCTATGAGGAAAATTGTAATTCTGCTCATTTTAAAGAAAAACCCAGGGGTGCCTGGGTGGCTCAGTGGTTGAGCATCTGTCTTTTGGTCAGATCATAATCCCGGGGTCCTGGGATCAAGTCCCCTCATCAGGTTCCCTGCATTGAGCCTGCTTCTCCCTCTGCCTATGTCTCTGCCTCTCTTTCTGTGTTCCTCATGAATAAATAAATAAAATCTTTTTTTTTTTAAAGAAAAACTCGTTGTAGTTACTAGATTTATAAAGAAGTGAAATAATGTAACTCCTATGCAGTGGATAATACCTTAGGCTCTATGTAGAATGTAGGGGAATATTCGAGGTTATGTGTCCCCCAGCAGCCATAACTAGGTCCTTGGTGCCTATGTAGCATTTCCACTCTTCTTTATGGCGATCACTTTCCTTGGTTGGTGTGTATATACGGTGTGTGACAGTTACGGTGGCTGTGGGAATCATAACTTTAAGTTCTGTGACTTTCCTGTGAGTAAAACCAGCCATAATATTGAATTAATGTCATTCTTCACATTTAATTTCCATGTTGTTGTAAGTGGAAGACTTATCGCATATATGAATAGCAGCTCTGTGTACATTTTTGATAGCGTGTAAGTGATGGTGGTTATGTGGACTAATTTTGTCTCTTAATTAACATTATCATTAAGTAGAGTGAGGCCAATTTGGGAGAGAGTGTGTTTGGTGTGCCCTCTGGAGGAGTGATGCTTTAAAGCTCCTATCTATCCACCGTTGTACTTGGCAGTAGAAGATTCTGGACCACCACAATCTGGCTCATAACCATGCACCCTGAATGGAAATTCTGAGCCCAGCACTGGTAGCTTTGTGGAATTGCCTTTGCACAGGAATGATTGAGTGGAGCATTGGTGTATTTCCTAAAATGGGAGACATTACTGATGGGTCTTCAGGCTGCACAGGATCAGTCAGCAGATGGGACTTTGCTGACTGTGTACATTGAAGACATGTCTGGTCTCTCTTAGTTTTGTAAATCAGGTAGGAGAGCTGCTACGCTTCCAAGAAATAATAGTGTGTGGTGTAAAATGCTTGAGGACAGATCTTTTGAAACTGGGGGAGTCAGGGCACCTGGGTGGCTCAGTGGTTGAGCATCTGCCTTCGGCTCAGGTCATGATCCTGGGGTCCTGGGATCAAGTCCGGCATCAGGATCCCCACAGGGAGCCTACTTCTCCCTCTGCCTGTGTCTCTGCCTGTGTGTGTCTCTCATGAATGGATAAATAAAATCTTAAAAAAAAAAAAAGAGGAACTGGGAGAATTGACTAAGGTTCTTATTGTCCTCATGAAGTGGTCTTCAGATAGTTCTGTCCAACTTACCTGGATGTGTTTTTCATAGACCAACAGAGGAGGTATGAAGAGCCAGAGGAGGAGGTGACTCGTGAAGGCTCTGCTGGTGTATCTTTTCTGGTCTAACAGGTCTCCCACATTGAGGGTTAGGGCTTGTTTCCTGATTGGGCAGTGTTGGTATTTCCAGGGCCAGAGGCCTCTAGTGACCTCAGTGCTGGGAGCCTTAGGGAAAGATCAAAGTGTTTGAAATCACCCTTGATCCTGGTGAACGAACCTTAAGTCAATGAATTATATTCACACTCAAGGGACATAAGGGCTGGGACCGGCATAAAAAGAGGCCTGTGAGAGAACCACAGACATAGGAGCTGTGGGGCCTCTGTTCTTCCTGGGGAAGATGTGTGAGACCTCAGGTCATCTTGTGATCAAAGCTCATTGTTTTCTGGTTGCAGCATTTTGTGATCTCATTGCATGCAGAGCGGGTGTACCAGAGGACCCTAGCTTGTCTGCAGTCCCTCACCATCCCTCCATTCCTCCTGGGGGCTGAAGAACTGCCCTCCTGCTTGGGAACCCAAATATCTCTTGCTGCCTGAAGCTCTACTTGAGACTGATAGTGTGCATGTGTGCATGCATGTGTGTCAGTGTCTTAGAAGGCAGGATCTTTGACTCGTGTCAGGACTTCCTGGATGGATACCATGGATGGGAAAGACCAGTGACCACAGTGTCCCTGGCCCCCATGTCTACCCTCAGTAGTTCATGGTCATCCAAGCAAGTCTCTGCAGGTCTGCTGCATGCCTCAGTTTGCCCAAAACTTCAGAGTTACCTAGCCTTGTTTGGAGGGAGAAATCCTGTGTTTCTCACCCAAGAAATCAGCCCTGGCTAATACCTCAGCCAGACAGGAACATATCCAAAATCCCGGTAGACCATTAGCTCATGTCCCTTCCACTCTGCCTTTCCACACAGACAGCCATCTTTATATCCAGCCCAGAAACCCTCAAAAAGTCTGAAAGCTCTCCTGGGCCCCAATTTGTGCATACAAAACCCACACATTGTACATGTCTACTATATCCCCCACTAACTACAAACATTGCCCATTTTGTTGCCCTGTGGGAACATTTCCTATCTTAAATTAGGAAACATAGGTGCCTCCCATTCTGAGATCATTTGTTCAGAATTTGCATTTCTTACTTTTTGGTTGGTGGTTGATTGCACAGACTCATGAAGGGTATGTTTGGAGGATCTTCCAAATCACATTTTGAAATGTTTCCTTCTGAGTGACAACCTCAGGTCTCTGGTATGTGTTCCACCCATTTCTCTATGGTGGCAGAGGGCCAGGCAGGCCCACCCTGGGAGGAGCCTGATGGGACGGTTCTGCTCCTCCCATTGCATTCACCAGAACAAAGCTGTTTGCACACTAAGCCCTGGATGAACAAGGGATGATGGAAGTAGCCCAGTGGTAGAATAGAATCAGCCTTATCCATGCTCTGATCAATAACTAAGATGGCAGAGGCTGTAGCCAGAGGGACTCCACAGAATCAAACTTTTACTGCCAAGACTTGCCACACATGTGGGAAGGCAGCCTTTGTACTTGAAACTGAGCATGCAGATGGCAGACTTAAAGAGAAAGAGCTGATACAGGGTATCCTTATAGGTTGATACCATTTTGCTTTTTTGAAAGTGGGATTTTTTTTCTTTTTTTACAGAAGCTGTGTGAAAGTGGTGATCTGAATGCTTCTCTAACATCCCAACATTTTGAAGAGCAATCTGTGAGTGAAATTCCTTAAAAACAAACACAAGATTAAATATTATAAGTATTTCTTATCAGGTGTTTGGATCTGTGGGGTTTTTTTGCCCGTTTTTAAAGAATGCTAAACCGTATCCATCTACAAAGACAGGCCTTGCACCTTATAGCTGGAAAAGATTAATTCAGGGTTTATCAATTTGTCAGACTGGCACAGATTTTTCTAAAAATACAGAGCAGCTATGCATTTGAGTGGGATCATAAAGGAGACAGAGCCATTCTGAAGTGCTTTGAAACCTGGGTGGGGAAACTTTCAAAAGAAGGTTGTCAAGGGAAGACCTAGCCACAAGATCGATTAATTGAATGTCAAATAAGTGAATGGTAAATTACTTTATCTGTCCCTTATCTTTGGAAGACAAAAATGTGAACTATTGCAAAACTCTAGTTCAATACTTTCACTGGATTCATTTAATAAATATTCAAAAATAGACTTGAAGTTGACATTGTGGCTGGTAGGAGTTGATGCATTCCTGGATGAGGAAGTGAGCTGTGTTGAGGGAAGGCAAGGCTGAGGGTGAGTGGAGGAGACACCACAGTGGGGTCCAGGGAATGGAGGAAAAATATGCAAACGGGAAAGCACTCAGTGTGTCACATATGGACATGGGACGGGCATGTGTCTGGTGGTCTGACGGACATGTGGGTACAGGAGGCTCACCCCTGAGTGGTCATGAACTGAAATGTTTTTTATTACACATAGAGGGGAGGTGTGCCAGGGTGGAAGGGCTTGGTGGGATGGTGGAGAAAATGAAGAAGCCACTTTGTATCTGAGTGCAAACACACGTCTGGGGGCGCCAGCATCACAGACACACTTCTGCATGCTACCTCCTCCCTTGGTGCTCCACCATGAGAGTTCTAGAAGAATCCTACAGGAAATCACCAGGTTTAAGGGTGTTTTAGATACTGGCCTACCACTTGTGTGATTTTTTTTTTGGGGGGGGGTGTAGAGTTTTTGCAAAGATAATTCAGGAATTCTGATAAAATCCTGCTGGTGAGAAGCATAAAGGTTGTGTTAATAAAGCACTGTAACCAAGCCATCTGTGTGGGTGGTGGGAGGTGAAGCTTAAAAAGATTTGCCTTTGTAGTTACTTTTGTTGTTGCTCTGAAATTTTCTTTCTGAGTCCCCAGACAGCATGCTTAACTTACTTCTCCATCTGTGTAGATGTTTGGGGAAGCCGGCGATGGGTTGAGTAACCTGCCCAGTCCTTTTGCGTACCTCCTCACCATACACCTGAAAGAAGGCCGGAACCTGGTCATCCGAGATCGCTGTGGTAAGCCTGGCTCTGTGGTGCCATCTGTAGCCTGCACACCCATTTCTCTATTCCTGTTTCTATGTTGTTTGCCTTTCTCATCTCATGTAACAGAGCAGAACTCAAATCTGCACCTCTAAGGTATCAAGGCCTTTGCAGCAGATTATCTAGATCCACTGAGTCTTACTGTCGTTTACTGTTATTAAATGAATAACAAAAATGATAAGAGTAACAATCACATAAAGTTTTAAATGAGGTAAAGGCCACTATAATAGCTTTGTGCCTGGAATATAGTAACTGCTCAAGACAATGTTCCCTTGATTCTACTTTGATTATACATAACAAAAGACATAAATTTATCCTTAGGTGTGAGGTCATCAAACACACACTAGATGGAAATGCCCTTTGAACCGCAACCCTCTCCTGCCCTGAAATCCCATGGGGCTCCTCTCCCTCAGGATAATATCTGTTATCTGCATATGATTTGACTTGTTCACTTTTTCCACTAATTCTGTGCATTTACTGTACACAAACACACATGTGTATATTTTTAATTAAAATACTATAATGTCCATATTCCTCTGTAATAAGCTTTTTTGTGCTTCACTAAATATATATTCAAGATTGACCATGTTTTGCCATGTAAATGTGTCTCCTTTCATTTAAATACTACGTAATATTCCATATTCTGATGTGTTATTCCTCTGTGTCTCTACTGACAATTGCTGCTTTTTCCTACACTTCAGGAATATAAATGATACTGTAATAAACACCCTGTGTTTTTTATGCATATAAATAGATGATATCTTACCAAAAAAATAGCACATGTTGAAGAGCTGACAGTCCAGCCAGAGTGCTGGGGCTCAAATTCTGCCCTTCTCCATTTATTGTTGTTTGATTTAAGAAATGTTCTTTGACCCCTCTCTGACTTAGTTTCCTCATCTGTAAAATGAGGATAGTAATATTAACCTTCATTATAGGCTATTAGGAGTATTGAAGGTCGTAACTTCTATAAAGCACTTAACACTTCATCTGGCTTGTAGCACTTCATGAACGCTAACTATTGTTAGCAGCCAGGAGAGAACCTGGAAATAGAAGTCAGGATCCAGGGGATGCACACTGTTTAACTTAAGAGATCCTGGCAAATTGCCCTCCAGGAGGTACAAAATATATGCTCTCCTGCAGTATGTTAACAATTACCCCACCTCCTCACTATCTAGTATCCACTCTTTTGCTCTTAGTTTTTGGCACTCTCATAGATTGGGTGTCAATTCTCCTTGTTTTAATTTATACTTTGCAGATTATTATGATGTATGTGGCATTTGTATTTCCTTTTTTTTAAATTTCTGTATTGTTTGTTCAGTTTTCAGTTGGGCTTTTTCTTCTCTCTTCTTAATTCTTTATAACTTTCAGCATTAATGGTTATTTGTTACAGGTTGCAAGTATTTTTTTTTTCCTCTCAGTCTGTTGCTTATCTTTTATTTTCATGACTGATTTTGTCCTTCAGAGACTTTACATTTCTTTACAGGCAAATATATTTGAGTTTTATTTATGGTACCTTTTAAAATTTTATTTCGTTTAGTAAGAAGGAACTTCTAATCTAGGGAATTGAATGTCTTCCTGCAGGTCTTGGGTAGTTTGTCCTGTTGCTTCCTTTCTACTCTGTTCTGGAACATGAAATGGAGAAAGTGCCTCGTAGACCCTTCCGTCTGTTCTCTGTGTCTGTTAGCTTTTCTTTCTCATTCTTCCCATGACTTTTTTTCTTGCAGGGAGGATTCCTCCAATTGGTCTTCTAGCTTTCTCATTTTCTTGTCCATTGTGATCATTGTGCTATTGTATTCATGTATTGAATTGCCATTTAAAAATTTTTTATATCATCTATGATTGTTTCATAAATGAGATGATGCCATCTTGTTTTTGAGAATATTAAGTGTACATTTAAAATCTCTTGTTCTGTGCTTCATCCCTTAGATATTCCAGTTTGGCATGTTTGCTGCTTATCTTTTTGTTTATTTCTGTGTCCCTGTCCTGCCATTCATGGATCCCTTTTTTTCTTACTGTGTCCTATCTTTCCTGATAGTGAGGATGACTGGGACATGCGACCGGACAGGCTGAGCCAGTAGTTCAAACTGGCTTCTTCCTATTCCTCCCAATTATCACCTGTTCCTGGTTACTGCTTATCACTTAAAGCTTTCCACTCTGGCTTACTACCCGTACTTACTCAGGCTTGCATTCAAGGGCTCTTGCTAGTTATCACTTAGCATCAAGGGGAGAGGATGGTGCTGGCCCACCTGGCTGCTGTATGTTTGTTGTGCCAACTGGTTACCCTGATCATTTCTCAGGCTGTCTTCTAATTCCTGTATCTCCTGCCCACAAGCTCAGAGCATCCATGGCTTACCTGCCACTCTCACATTTTCCTGCCCAACCCTGCTTCTGAAAACTGTTTGCTATGACTTTCTTCTGCTCATATTTTAGACTGTAGATTCATCTGTCAATCAGATCTCACCTGACTTCCATGTTTCAGGCTATATAAAATATCCCCCACTTAAAAAAAGTATTTAATTATTTATTTAGAGAGAGCACAAGCAGAAGGGCAGAGGGAGAGGGAGAGAGAAAATCTGAAGCAGACTCTATGCACTGAGCACGAGCCCTACATGGGGCCTGATCTCATGACCCTGAGATCAGGGCCTGAAATCATGACCTGATGACCGAAACCAAGAGTCCATTGCTTCACTGGCTGTGCCACCCGGGTGCCCCTCCATTTTTTTTAAACAAAATTTCTCTCTTTTTTTTATTTTCTCAGATGCAGGATTTCAAAGTAGTGAAAAAAAAACATATTTTACTTGTTGGCAAATTATGTTTTCTATCAAAATCATAAAACTTCTTGCCTATCAATTGTGTGACTTTCAGTGTTTTATCACTTGTGTGCTATCATGATAAACATATTACATTTTAGTAACTCCATCTCTTATGTTATTTTTAATTATTTGGTCACATAGCATTTTACACCTGAAATAACATCCAGGAAACAATCATAAATCAGTGTAAAGTTAACTCCCATAAACATCCCAACTCTTGCTCTGAATTTGCATGGTGTTCCCTGGGTGCCTCTGACAAGCTAAGATCATTATCGAGCTTGTTTTATGACAGCTTATCTGGAGGGTGTACCATGGAGAATGTATTTACTTTTACTAGTAAGAAGCTATTCTAAACTTCTAAAAAACATATTTTGTTTTAAATTTTTGGAATTCCTCTAATATTTTGTAGCTTTGGAGATCAGTACAGGCCCTGGACTACTTCTACAAACCAGCTACCCCCTTTGTAGTTTACCCATCCTCTCTCGATCTTTCTTCCAGAGTGAGTTATCTGTCTCCACCACCCTTGACATATATATCATAAGGATACACTTACAGCAGATTTCTAGTTGATTGTCAGTAAACTTAGTATATGATAAAGAAGCCATTGCACACATCAGAAAATCACTGGAGTATGTATGCTCATGCTCCATACCTTCCTTTTAGAGACAGAAGAGAAACTGTAGTCTGTGCTATAATCCCAGCCATTGTCACCTCTGAATAATTTCATCAAAGTTAAACATCATATGACTTTGGCTTTATCTTGTGTAAATTTAATATGATCCAAATATAATACCTAGTAAGGCATCTAGGTCATAAACTGTGCTGTTCCAACACCTATATCTTTTGTAACCAGTAGTGACTGTTCTTGTCTGGTGTTTGTTTGTTTGTTTATTGGGAGAGTTAATAATTATTGAGAAAATATCTCTCTCCAAGCCAATTCTTTTTCTACACTTTGAGGTATGGTATGCCTTCCTACATAGTGACTCTATTAATTTCTGCTTAATTTTCCTAAGTGTTATGTTATGTTAGTGATCAGGGAAATGTTCCAGGGACCACTCAAGGCAAGGTGGTGTTCAAGTGGGCACTGTTGATTTAGGCAGAGCTCCTAACTATTATATAGGCTCCCACTCCTGACATCTTGCCTGGTTTCTGACATTATTTATCAGTACAATTAAACTTTCTATGGGACCCAACCCAGCATCAGAATTTTATCCAACGTAGTCCTTCGGATCAGTAGTTTTAAAACTTGAATGAAGATCAGGGTAGTCTGGAAGGCTGAGGAAAACACACATTGTCCACCCCCAGAGTTTCTGATTTAGCAAGTCTGAGGTGGGGCCTGAGGATTGGATTTCCCTTCCTTCCTCCTCTCCTCTCCTCTCCTCTCCTCTCCTCTCCTCTCCTCTCTCCTCTCCTCTCCTCTCCTCTCCTCTCCTCTCCTCTCTCCTCTCCTCTCCCCCCTCCCTCCTCCCTCTTCTCTCTTCTTCTTCTTCTCTCCTTCTCCTCTCTCCTCCCTCCTCTCTCTTTCTCTTTCTTTTCTTTTCTTTTCTTTTCTTTTCTTTTCTTTTCTTTTCTTTCTTTTCTTTTCTTTTCTTTCTTTCTTTCTTTCTTTCTTTCTTTCTTTCTTTCTTTCTTTCTTTCTTTCTTTCTTTTTCTTCTTAGATTTCACTTATTTGTTTAAGAGAGAGAGAGCATGAGAGAGACAGCACAAGCAGGGGGAAAAGGTAGAGGAAGAAGCAGATTCCCTAGCAAGCAGGAAGTCCAATGTAAGACTCAATCCCAGGACTCTGAGATAATGACCTCAGTTGAAAGCAGACACCTAACCAACTGAGCCACCCAGGTGCCCATGGTTTCATATTTCTAACAAGTTCCCAGGTGATCCTGGTGTAGGTGGTCCAGGAAGGACACTTGAGCACTGTTGCTGTAGGGAGCCACTGTCCACCAGTATGTGTTAGCACGTGAGAAGAAACATTTGCTTCTCCTGGTAGGTAGAGTTTCAATTCTGTATTAGGCACAACATATGGGGCTTTTCCTCCTTGCATATTTGTTCTCTAGCATTCTTAATTTATATTCTTTGAACATGATGTAATTTGGTATTAGGAAGTTAACATAATTAAGTACAGAGGCTGTATGATATGCCAAAATACTAAATACAAAAGGATTTCT